CTCCGATGCCGCGGAGGACATCTGATCTCCGGTGTCAGCGAGTGTGAGAGCTACCATCTGGTTAGACGGATCACTCTCACCACCCGAAGCTTGGATGGAGCGCCGTGAGGAGCGAGAGGTCCGCGAGCCCGTGGGCGGCGGATTAGCTCCCGCTGAAACCCTCAGATCTGCCCGAGCGCCCGCTGCTTTTTTAGAACAGGAGGCAACTGGGGTGGCTCGCTCTCTTGCGAAAGTTAGCCGCGATCTTAGCTGTGCAACGGTCATGGCATCGCAATGACGACATGAACCGCCCGCGAGCACCGCATTAACATGCTGGAACCCCAAACATGCAATGCAGTGATCGTGTCCATCATCCGGAGACAGGAAACCCCCGCATCCAGAAACGCACAGTCGGAGCGCCATCCTGAAAAGGACGTGCTGCACGACTGTGTTGCTCTTTTAGGAAAGTTGCAACTATACGCACCGCTCTGGAGGACCGGACCCAAAGAACCGCAGGCAAGGGAGTAACCCAGCTCGACCGTCTGCCACCGCGAAGACCCACTCTGGACCGGGAGACACACTCGTTCGCTCTGAAGTGCTGATCAGCAAGAGGAACCCTCATCGACTCACTCAGAAAGGATCTGAAGCGAAAAGGATGGCGTCTGCTGGCTTCAGGTGTGCTTATATGCTGAGATGATTGCAGATGTCGCACACCTGCGCAAGCTTACGCTGCCAATTAATTTCATTCATTGGCCCGTTCAATACTCTCCAGATAAGCGGCTTCTGATACGAATCCTCCCATTCATGGCACTGAAGTTCCCCAACCGAAGGGGAACAAACTGCATATATTTCCTCAGGCTCACCTCTCGATGGAGGGTTGCTGTGCTAAAGATTTCCCAAATAAATATTTTGCTCGCGGCTTTGGCACAGGTATGACATCAGGTGGACCAGGCACAGACATCTGCAGTAAATAAATCATAAATGCACAAAGTATGAATTATGCTGGAAACGTCAGGAATGCAAACAAGATCATCTGAACGTGAACAAGACGAACAAGAATGTGTTGTTCTTTCACGGTTTGGAAACGTGACGCACTTAGCGGACGCTTTTACACTCGTGACTGCACACTTTCTGTCAAGGTAAGTTTATTTCATACACGGTGGCAATTCAAAGTGCTTTACATAAACAGGAATAAAAGTATAGGAAAATTCATTCATTCATTCATTGTCTTGCCGGCTTAGTCCCTTTATTAATCCAGGGTCGCCACAGCGGAATGAACCGCCAGTATAGAAAAATAAAAACAAATAATAAAAGTGATTAAAAACAGATTAAAATGTGTTAAAACAGGTTCTAAAAAATGAAAAGAAAGATATAAGAGTGCAAGAAAGAGAAAAACGATCTGCACAAATTGTTTATATGAATTCATGGAAATGAAGTCACATTGTATGAATTTGTAGAAATTGGCAAATCTGGAGATTCAATAATTATCCTGATGATTATACTTGTGTATATACATACATTCACCGGCCACTTTATTAGGTACACCTTACTAGTACCGGGTTGGACCCCCTTTTGCCTTCAGAACTGCCTTAATCCTTCGTGGCGTAGAGTCAAGAAGCTACTGGAAATATTCCTCAGATTTTGCTCCATATTGACATAATAGCATCACACAGTTGCTGCAGATTTGTCGGCTGCACATCCATGATGCCAATCTCCCGTTCCACCACATCCCAAAGCTGCTCTATTGGGTTGAGCTCTGGTGACTGTGGAGGCCATTTGAGTACAGTGAACTCATCGTCATGTTCAAGAAACCAGTCTGAGATGATTCACGCTTAATGACATGGTGCATCATCCTGGTGGAAGTATCCATGAGAAGATGAGGACACTGTGGTCATAAAGGGATGGACATGGTCAGCAACAATACTCAGGTAGGCTGTGGTGTTGACACGATGCTCAATTGGCACTAATGGGTCCAAAGTGTGCCAAGAAAATATTCCCCACACCATTACACCACCACCACCAGCCTGAACTGTTGATACAAGGCAGGATGATCCATGCTTTCATGTTGTTGAGGACAAATTCTGACCCGACCATCTGAATGTGTCAGCAGAAATGGAGACTCATCAGAGCAGGCAACATTTCTCCAATCTTCTATTGTCCAGTTTTGGTGAGTCTGTGTGAATTGTAGCCTCAGTTTCCTGTTCTTAGCTGTCAGGAGCGACACCCGGTGTGGTCTTCTGCTGCTGTAGCCCATCTTCCTCAAGGTTGGACGTGTTGTGTGTTCAGAGATGCTCTTCTGCAGAGCTCGGTTGTATCGAGTGCTTATTTGAGTTACTGTTGCCTTTCTGTCAGTTGGAAACAGTCTGGCCATTCTCCTCTGACCTCTGGCATCAACAAGGCGTTTGCGCCCACAGAACTGCCGCTCACTGGATATTTTCTCTTGTTCAGACCATTCTCTGTAAACCCTAGAGATGGTTGTGCATGAAATTCCCAGTAGATCAGCAGTTTCTGAAATCCTCAGAGCAGCACCAACAACCATTCCACATGCAAAGCCACTTAAATCAACTTTCTTCCCCATTCTGATACTCAGGTTGAACTGCAGCAGATCGTCTTGACCATGTCTACATGCCTAAACGCATTGAGCTGCTGCCATGCAAATGTCTAATCAGTCATTCACAAGCAGTTGGACAGGTGTACCTAATAAAGTGGCCGGTGAGTATATCTAGTAAAAAATCTTTAAAAGCAAGTGTTTTCAAGATGAGTGTTGCAATTAGCAGAAGAGCAGTGATGTATGAATTTGGTGAAAATACGATGGCAATTACTGACAATAACAAGACATTTTTGCATATTATTACACATTATTGTGACTATTACACAAATATGCAAAAGCAATTACTTTCACAATGAGTCTTGTAGTACAACCAGCAGGAGAGCAACAGGTTACATTAAAGTTGTTAACTATTTTAAATTAATAAATATTCATAATAATAATTAAAAATGTACATTTATTGAGTATTTCATTAACGTTTTTTTCTCGTAGTTCGCACTTTGCAGACGCTCCCTTCAGTTCTCTTGTCAAAATCAGCGTAATTTCATCTTGTTTTGAGGAAAACCTGATTGTTTTGTAAACCACAACATGTGAAAAGAGGACTCCTTTGTGAGGTAAAACACGTTTTGCTCGTGTGTATTTATCAATAAATGTCGAATCCATTAATATTTGGTCAACTTTACCGGGTAGTTTTGATTCCGTAAGGAAAACAACTGGGATATTGAGGTAAATTTGGTTTTATTTTCGAGCATTCAGACTTTTACCCTCCTAATATAATTTCAGAAGAGTATTATTTGCTAATTCGAAATAGAGAAGTCATATTAGCAGCCATGGCTATCAACAACATTGTTCACAGTCATTTAAATAGTGCTAACTTAAAGTTGTTGTTGCGTAAACAATAGAGTACCTGTCACAAGTTGTGCTCATAGCAGTGTAATCAATCAACATTAACCTTTTACATTCTGCTTAACTATTAATGGGATATATAAAAACAACTTACCTCAGTTCTTAAGTAGCCCTCAGTATGTACTGAATTTCATCAAACAGCTTTCACTTCTGTCTTTGAACGAGTTCGTTGTATAACTACTAGCATAATATAAGAAAATCTCGATTAAAACACATGTCGTATCGGTAGGAGAGACTTGTAACTTACCTTCGTGATGATCTTGATGAGGATTGAAGACGTCAGACACCTTTATTTTTTCCTTACCGCGAGATTTACCGGTTGATCCACTCACACACATATATATATGAGCGTGAGGGTTGGGTTGTAATCAGGTGAACTTAAACCTACTAGACAAGAACTGAATGACACTCATGTATGTAAAAAGGAAAGCAGTAGGCTTTTTTATTTCCTAAATCTTAGTTTTGTTGTTTTTGTTGTTGATGTTGGTTGAATTTTATATTCACAAAAGTAAAAAAAAATGCTGGGTTCCACACAATTCTTTCATGTTGTTCCAACATAAATTAGATTGTTATTATTGATTAATTAATTAATTTATTTATTTATTTTTTACTAATTTAAGTAGATTCAATTTAAAACAATTAAGTTGTCCCAAAAAAATTATGTAAGCTCTCCATGTACTTATAGACCATATGGTGAGGACACTGACCTGGAGAGACACTTAGTTTATGATAGTTTTTAAATTAGAGTGAAAGAAAGGGAAAAAGTATTGTTTGCTTGTTTTAAATCATTATTTAAGTATTAAAGTAACTCAGTTTTTTTTTTTATGGGGCAAGTAAAAATCCTTTGGGTTTAGCCCTGTATAAGTCTGAAATTTCATTAATAATGGTCTTAAAAAGCCTTAAACGTTTTAAATGAACTAAAATATTGACTTGTAGGCCTCAAATAATTTTAAATGGGTCTTAATTTTCTAATGTCCATGTAAAAGTATCCAATCAGGTGACAGTCACCAGCAACACATCTCAACCAAACTGTTTACAACTCTATTTAACTACACGGTTCCTCATGAAAACATTTTAAGTAACAGTTCCCCATGCATTTATAGACCATATGTGGTGAGGACACTGACCTGGACAGACTGCTGTACATTTAGTTTATTATAGTTTTTAAATCTTGTCAAAGAAAAGTTTTATTGAGAAAAAAAAAATTGGTTTGCTTCTTTTGACACATTATTTAAGTTTTAAAATGATTAGATTTTTTTTAATGGGGCAAGTAAAAATTCTTAGGGTTTAGCCCTGTATAAGTCTGAAATTCCATTAATAATTGCTTTAAAAAGTCTTAAATTTGATTTGGTGAAACCTGCAGAAACCCTGGTTTTGAGTGTCCATTTGGTAGACTAAATGTAAACACTTTTCCCTAAGATTTAAAAATGAAATAAAAATGTATTTGGAGTCTATTTAGGCATCAACGAACTTAAAAGCAATAAGAACAAGGACATAAGGACTTAAATGATCGAAGATCCATGTTGTTTGATTGATTACATTTGTTGTTAATTGTTTCAAGCATTCATTCAAAAGAACTGAATGACAAATGACGCTAAAAAAAAAGCTGATCAACTCGCGTGTAAAAAGTATTTAATTCATTATTTTAATTACCTGCTCTTATAAACATCCTTCTTCATCTCTCTTTCTGATCGCAAATTTATAGAGAGCCTGCTGTCAAATTGCTGTACCATCTATCTATTTTAGTCATTTAATCACTTTCACAATCTTGTCGACGCCTTCACATGGTTCATGTGGTATTTGTAGGTGTAAAATATGTTCAGTAGATGTAAAAGTTATTTTTTTAGTGCTTTAAACCGATTGTGTTTGTACATTTAAGCCATTTAGATACAAATATCTCAACATATCTCACTGGATAAGTGTTGAAACTGAATCAGACCGTCACTGAAATTGCTTCTGCAAACAAGACTTGAAAAATCACAATCACAATCTTTTTCTTAACACTGTAGATAAATGAGTCCTGACGGAAGTCTGTGAATGTTTAACATCTATATTTCTACCACAATCCTATTCTAGTCTACTATTTGGCTGAAATGTGCAGAACTAACTATATTAGTAATCATATTTATTTATTGAGACATTTTTTTGCATGTGTTTTTTTAATGCCTGTAATTGTCTAATGACTTTAAAAGCGTTTAGGTATAAGAAATTGTACCATTTTTGACCATATAATTTTATTGATTTCTTTATATTTATATCATTCAGTTACTGTACTTGAATACTGTTAGACTCTGGAAACGATAAAACACTTTATTTCAATTGAATCTTTTCCTTAATTGTATTTATAGATTGTTATGCGTGAAAATACTCAAAACACATGCAAATACAGATATGCACTGCAAATAGCACACACCCCAACGAAAACATGTTGGGGGACCCCAAAAACGTTATAGATTGTTTATTAGATTTATTGGAGATGCAAATAGTAAACATTAATTAGTCAATGTCTGAGCAAACACGCGCATGAAAATACTCACAACACATGCAAATGCAGAAATGCACTGCAAATATCCAACGCAATCTCACGGCAATTCGTAACTTTTTGATTTAGTGGCTAACTCGTAGGAATTCGTACGATCTAATTCGTACAATTTAGTATGATTTGCTCATCATCTAATGACGGTTGGGGTTAGGAGTGGGGTTGGGTGCCACGCCTCCTTTTTAAAATCGTACATTTTCGTGTGACTGAACTTCATACAAATTAGCTACTAAACTGACAAAACGTAAAATACTTACGTTTCCTCGTCAGATCAGGCTGATATAGCACAGCTAACAATGAAAATGTGTCGGGGGACCCCAAAAAGTTTATAGATTGTTCATTAGGTCTTATGAAGATGTGCTGCAGAATCATCCCAATCGATCTAACATTATACATTATTTTCCAAATAGAGATGTTAACCCATCTGGTAATATACTGTAAATCGCAAAATAAAAAAAATTTGCAATGTAAGATTTTTTTAATATCATGCAACTCTAAACCACATGGTCAAATAATTCCCTCGACATCACACACTAAATACGGCTACACTTCGGGTTGTTCCAATTCCGATACTAGTATGGGAAATACCAGCCTGATCTCAGGAGGAAACGTAAGTATTTTACGTTTTGTCAGTTTAGTAGCTAATTCGTACAAATTTTCGTTTAATTTTTAAAAGGAGGTGTGGCACCCAACCCCACCCCTAACCCCCGCCGTCATTGGGTGATGAGCAAATTGTATTAAATTGTACGAATTAGATTGTACGAATTCATACGAATTAGCCACTAAATCAAAAAGTTACGAATTACCGTGAGATTGCGTTGGAAATACTCACCGAAACTGCAAAAATTCTGGCACCGGTATCGGTGAGTATTTGAAACTATAAACCAATCAGATACCATCTTTTTAAAGCAGACGTATTACTGGTAGCTTTGCTTAAAGGCCTGTGCGCACCGGGACTCTTTTTGCTCGCGTTTTTTCTATCGACGTTTAACGCCTTGTGTCTAAATAAAGGGGGCTAATGTGATCGTGCACACCAACGTGCAAAACGGCAGACACAAAAGCGTCATTTTTTAGGAAACGCCTCATGCTCGTTTTTGTTGTTTTGACGTGCCACGTTAAACCTTCTCCACCAATCAGATTGTCACGTTTGATCACATGAATTTACAGTAAACAGCACTTGGAGGTGCTCAAGTGCAAAACTGTCAATGCGAGCGCACATTGAAGAAGATGCCCAGAGGCGACATGAACGTGGAGCTGCTTATTGCTCTGGTCAACCATAATAATTTCTTCATTGCTAGAGCTGGAGCTGCTACTTGAACCATCCATGCTTGTTGCCAGTAACTTTAACAACAGGCGTGTCAACTTTCTGTCTTTTTCTTTTGTGTTACAAATGGGTTTCAGAAGCTTAAAGTTGTGTAGCGCCATCTAACGTCAAGGAGTGATTTTGCATACTCTTCTGCTTGACGCCAGTGAAAATCGCTTGGGCTTGAATCCGGAAAAACTTCTCGAAAAACACTGACGATAAACGCAAACAAAAGGTGTGTACGACCCTTAACACTGCAAACCCAGATTCAGTTCTTCAATGCACAGAATGCAAACCATAACCACCATTAGAGCAACGACAAGGGTAACAACATTTTTTTCTGAATTTTACATTTCAAAGAGCTTCTTTTTTTTTCAGTTTACGGTGTTTGATTTGTAGCTGAACTTGTTTCAGTAAAGTACAGTAAATAATATTAGTGCTGAATGTCTGACAATAAAAATTTATCAAATAAAAAAAATACTCCAGTTCACTGTATGTATTTGTTCATGTTTTATTAATGGATAAGCCTGAAGCACACCATAATTTAATTCGGTCAATTTATACAGGGCTAGTAGTACTAACACAACTGTTTCTACAGATACACACTCAGGTATTGGTTTAGTAATCGTAATCACTATTGGGAAGGTAAAAAAGGGGATCGGAACGTTGACCTACACTTATATTTAATCAGTTTCATATATTAGCATTATCTAACACATTGGCGTTATATCCAGCCTGATACTACGAGGAAACGTAAGTATTTTACGTTTTGTCAGTTTAGTGTCTAGTTCGTACGAGTTCAGTTGCATGAAAATGTACGACTTTAAGAAAGGAGGCGTGGCACCCAACCCCACTCCTAACCCCAACCGTCACTGGGTGATGAGCAAATCGTACTAAATTGTACGAATTAGATTGTACGAATTCATACGAATTAGCCACTAAATCAAAAGGTTACGAATTGCCGTGAGATTGCGTTGTTATATCACACACCAAAATGAACAATGATTATAAAACATTATAATAGACATGCATAGCTAACAAATGCATATTCGTTTATGAAGACTCTAATTCGTTATCAATAAGCATGAATTAATAATGAACAATGGTTTAAATTAACACCAACTTACAATATACACTTTATAAAATGTTGATGATACCTAACTAATGTTAATGAACTTAAACTTGTAAACCGAAATCTATTTAAATTTTAAATGTCATACTGATTAATGTTGTGATTCTGCTTTATTTTAAAGGGCACCTATTATGCAAAAATCGATTTTAAGACAGTTGTGTGGCTACAGTGTGTGAAAATAAGCAGCTTCTTATTGTACATATGTATTAATTGAGTTGTTTATAACCACACTTGATAAAAACACTTTGATTGACATTCTCCCTTTGTATGTGGCATCAGAGGGGGAAAGCCCCGCCCACTACTAGTGACCATCTCTCTCATTAGCATAGACAGCCCTGAGTGAGAAGCAGCCAACTGTCCATTAGAGTTTTGAATCTGCCACTATGTTGACTCACAGGCATTTGTAGCTCCGCCCTCGTCTGAACACAGCACAATCTCATTTGAATTTAAAGCGACAGTCACCAAAACGCCATAGTTAGGATCAAAGCCTACCAGGGGCAATTTCACAGAGTAATAAAACATTATTTGCTTGCTATTCTGAGCTTAAACTTCACATACACACTCTAGAGACATCAGAGACTTATTTCTCATCTTGTAAATAGGGGTGGTGTAATAGTTGGGTTTAGATTTGGTACCTAAACAAAAGTGTTACTAGTGTTTCACATTAAGTGATTGCATAAGCTTCATTACAGTGTATGATAATAACCTTTTAAAAGACGTCTTACCTGAATGCATGTTAAATCTTAACAAGACCGATTTCTGCAATCATGCACTTAACTCAAGGTCCATTCACCGGGATTTTTCAGCATAATAAAAATAAGCTAAATTTAAGATCATCCTTATATAACTTATGAAATAAATTGCATGGATGATATGTGCAGTGCATTATGCATTGTACAACATAATGCATTTACCAGATTAGTAATTGCTTTGGGAATTAAAAACAAAAGGCATGGTCCAGTGTTGTAGCTCTGTTTGATATAATAACTATGAGTTGAGGAGAACTGGATTTGCTTCAGCAGCTGGAGTAGAGTTGTTCTCCTCATGTGCTCCTCCAACCTGTTTGACGTCCTGTAAGGCCAGATCCTCAGCAGTGTTGTTTTTCTTTTCCCTGTACAAGTCAAATTGAACAGTACGGTGTCAAACAGACTTCACAAATCAATTCCTATAGAGTGCTCCATTCCACTTGAAGTGCACTCACAAACTTCCCTTAATTGTGTCCTCAGGGAAATCCCCAACTCCACTTTGATTCAACACCAACCCAACATTACCCAGGGTACGGATTACAGTTTGTTTGTTTATTGAGGGGATTAATTTAATTTAATTTGAATTAGCATGAATTTACAGCACATGCTTTGAAAACTAGTTAAAATGTCATATTTCTCTGCATTTGAACATTCTTGCAATCATTTGGGATAAAGTAAGAATATAAATCAGCAAAATATATATCACTGTTCTAGTGGTTTTTGGATATTTTAACGATAGATTCTTACATATTGTGCCTTTAAATGTTAAACATGAATGACTATGATTTAGAGCAACATGTGTGAGTAAGGGCCTACTCACACTACGCTATCCGAACTATGCCCAAGTCTGTTTACTGGATCGTTTGAGAAGTGTGAGTGCCCTAAATCGGGCTCAGGCACGGTTCACTTGGCCGGCCCTGGCTGGGTTGGAAGAGGTGGGCCTGAGTGCGGTTCACTTGGGCTTTGGTGCGGTACGCTTGTGCAAAGCGAGCCTGAGCCCGAAACTGAAGACGAGACGTGACTTTTAAGGGGCTGTTTCATATGTGTTTATTAATCATTCTTGCTGTTCAATGAACACAATCAGTCGTAGTTTATTAAAGACGCAAACCCCTCACTGCATGACAGCTGCACCTTCAGCAAACCTCCTAATTCCTGCAGCACGAGGGCTTTATGGTTGTTTATGAGTGTCAAAAGTGGCGGATCTGTTCAGCGAAATATTTGACCGCGTGTCACCGCATATCAAACCACTAAAGTGATATAACTAAAGAAACCTCCACTGTGCTGAGTGAGAGTGCTTCTTAGGGTGCTTTCACATCTGTAGTTCGCTTCATTTGGTCCGCACCAAGGATACATTGTTGCATTTTCCGTCTTTGGGTTGTTTTCACACCACACTGCTGGCTTTGGTCCGAACCAGTTGAAACGAACCAAAATGCAGTCATCTGACAAAATCCACATCTCTCATTGGCCAGATGTTGTTGAACATATTTCCTAAACTGCTCATTGATTGGTCAGAATTCACGTGCGGGAAAATGCCAGTGAACTCCCGCAGGTAAACAAAACCTTTTACTCTGGAGGGACGACTGCGCTGGCTGATTGTATCCCTGCTTTAGACAAACTACACGTTACGAAAATGAAGCGCGGCCGCGGCTGGAAAACAGTGTTTAATGCATCGCTCGTCACTTCAGGAGGAGCCGTGAATTAATTTAACTAAACTGCGACATGCTCATCTTGCGGAAATATTAACAACGATCCATCAGGTAATGTTTCCCCTCTCTCTCTCTCTCTCTTGGTAAAGCGCTGTCAACAAATATTTTTCCTCCATATCCCATAATGCACAGCGCATCGGCCTACGGCAGCTGAATTAGTCAAAAACGCGCAGCACTTTTTGCAGTTGGACCTGTTTTAGTACGCATCATATTCTCACCACAAACGAACCGCTCCAGTGTTCGTTTGAAAGCGTATTTGGTCCGCTTTTGGTGCGCACTCGAGTACGATTGCTGCATTCTCACCTGCCCAAACGAACCGTACCAAAAGGGGAAACGAACTCTAGTGCGATTCAATTGAACTAAATAAGGCAGGTGTGTAAGCACCCTTACTGAACAGCGCATCATCGATGACGTAATCATGCCCAGGCCCGAATGTAATATGAGGCCATACTCACACTACAGTTGCCTTGAACCAGGCCAAAGCACGCTTGTCCCCCCTCCCGTCTCCCCCGACGGCCAGCACTCGCATTACATTCGGGCCTAGGCACGCTTACGTCATCGATGCTGCGCTGTTCAGTAGAGAAGCGCTCTTGCTCAGCACAGTGGAGATTTCTTTAGTTATATCGTTTCAGTCGTTTGATACGCGATGACACGCAGTCAAATATTTCGCCGAACAGATCCGCAACTTTTGACGCTTATAAACAATCATAAAGCCCTCGTGCTGCAGGAATTAGGAGGTTTGCTGAAGGTGCAGCTGTCGTGCAGTGAGGGGTTTGCGTATTTAATAATCTACGGCAGTTTGCGTTCACTGAACAATAAGAGTGATTAATGAATCCATATGAAACAGTCCATTAAAAAGTCCCATCTCACTTTAGCTTCGGGCT